ATTTAAATTACAAAACATAAAAATATATAATTTTCTTAGAAAACCAACGGTTTATAAGTTTACGTTGAACACAAATTAAATCAAACACCCGCACGGGAGTGCGGATCAAGTTCTAGTTTTACATTATAAACAAAGCCTATGATTGTTTGCATATGAGAATTAGTCATATTTATTTTGACTTTAAGTATATAAGATAGTTTCTTTCTCATAAATACTTACTTAACTCTGTAGTTTAGAACTTTAGACATATAATGTTTAATAAAATTTTGTTCGATAAAATGTCCAAAAATAATTTAAGCAATCAAAACCATGTTTAAAAAAATCAATAAAAGGATTTTGGTGAGTAGGTTTAGTCACATCATGTAGACCATAATACGTATGTTGTTAATAAAGTTGATTTTTTTGTTTGATTTGAGATATTAGTAGTACTTAAAAACTGAAATATAATGAGATCTAAACTAAGTTTCTAAATAAATAGATAAGAGAATTCATAATATATATTGTATAACTGAATTATAGGGGATGTTATAATTAGTTCTAATGAGATGTGAATAAGTCCAAATTTAAGTGACAACATTTTTAAGTAGATAAAAAATAGAACTCTAAATTAATAGATTAGATTTGTAGAAGTATAAATAGAGAAGTCGGAGTCTCTTAGAGGTTAGCTTGTATTTTGGATAAGAGTCAGTTAGACTTGAGGAGTACTCGTCTGGGTTAGACCAGCGATATTCGATATTCGTTGTTTAAGATACAAGTGCAATCCATCGATATTCATAATACAAAGGTTACATTGCGTTAAGGATAGAGATATCATACAACAAAACTCTATTAGTTGGTGCGTCGTTAGCCGATCAAAGCATAGCGATGTACATAACACGTATATACATAATAGCTTGTTTTAACAATAACCAGGAACGGAAAAAAACCAAAAAAGCAGAAAAAAGCTTTTCTCTCTAGGGCGAACTTGAAAAAGATAAAGTTTAGCTCTGGCGGCCTCTCTGCTTTTTCCGTGGCTTGGCGTCTTGTCCGGTGTAAGGTTGTGTTTCGGCGTTCATTATAGGCAACAGATTGTCCCTGTTGATGTGTTACCAGCTCTGCCGTTGGTCGTGTGGCTGCGGTCTGGTTGGAGTTTAGCGTATGTGGCTTAGGAGGTTACGGTGTCTCTGTCGTCCATGGCCGGGAAGCCCTTTTCTTCAGCGGTCACTCTTCTTTTGCTCGTCCCTCCCACGTTTTGGTTTCAATTAAGCCTATGCCAATCGCGTTTGGTTCTAGGTTGTAGCAGATTCACTTCATCATCATTCTCGTCTCTCCCGCGTTGTGTGTTGTGAGGCGCAGAAAAGACCGGACAGGGTTCTCCTGTTCCGGACCAGGGCGTCGGATAGCATTCGGGTTCGAGTCTCTCCGACCATTCCGGCGAGGAGACCTGTTTGTGGATTGGTCATCCCAGAACCAAAGTGTCCATTTGGATGTTTTGGCTGATTAACCCACTTCTTTTCTTGCAGGATTTGTAACTTTTGAGACTAGATGTTGTCGTTTACATTCCCCTTCTTTTGTCCCGGAGTGCCATTCGTCTTGCCTTCCTCAGATGGAGGTGGATTGTACTCCTTGCCGTTTGTTTTTGTGAGGATGAGTGGATTCTCCAGCAGGTTTGTGTCTCTTTTTCTCCTCGATCTTGCGGTTTATGCGCGTTAATGTCAATGTCAAGAGCAAGCTTGAAAAGATCGTCATGACCCAGCTACTCCAGCGATGTCACTGGAAGTTACCGGTAACCGAGGCAATGAAGTGAACGCCACGCTTATGTGATCAACATCAATGGTTGAGAACGGGAATTGATAATTCTAAAGAGTACAAAGCGGTTTAGTGGAACGCGCCGGTGTGGTGGTTGAGTGAAACTAGACTAGCAATGTTTGAATTAGAATCGTTTTGTTCGATTTAAGTTTGTAATGGACATTTGAATTCCCTATCTTTCGGTTGATTAATATAAAAAAAAAAAACAATAACCAAGAACGTCCTTTTACAAAAAAAAAAAAAAATCAATGACCAGGAACGTGCAGGGGAATTTTCATTGTAACTGCTTCGTTGTTGGGTGCTTACGTACAATTAATATAAGAGTTGACATTTACTGATATATAGTATATAATTGACTTATGAGAGTCATCGGACTGATCTAATAAAATATTGTAACTTTCTAGCTAAGCTGGTTAGAAAGACCAATAAGAAGGACCGCCAGGAATTACCCAAGGCCGAAAGAAAATAAAAGTTCCTTAAATTTAAATAGAAAAACAAATATTAAACATATACATATATACAAATTTGAGATTATGAACAATAAACTGAACATATAACTTTAAACTTTTTTACCAAATGGAAATTTTAATTTTCTAAACACATGAATGTGAATAAGAAAGGACCATGGACAAAACTGTATCTGAAGTGGTTGAATGTCTTGCCTTTTAGGTAAAGTAATTGACCAGATTTCATGCACTTCCCAAATATTATCCTTAAACTATTCGTAATCACGATGTGAGTTTACTTGAAGGTCTTGTCAAGATGGTTATAAAAAAGAAATATAATTGTCAGCTATCTGAAATATCGACCATTACATGACTGAACAAGCAAAGTAAAAAAATACATACTTAACTTCATGAAATATATTGTATGCATGTTAACATCAATTAATTTTATGTGGTTATGAATCTAACAATACAAGGCTAATTACATTAATTATATTAATAAAAATATAAAATATAAAAAACGTTTTCAGATATGGAAATTTTTTTTATATTTTTATATTTTCATTATTATAAATATTTTTTTTTTTTGAAAAAGTTTCATACAACAATATTAAAACCTATTGTTATTTTAGAAAACAATTTTAACTTTGTTTTAATTTTATATTTTTAATAGTTTGTTGGTTTAGCAATTATTTTTATATATGATTTGTTAGTTTAAGCCTGATATATATATATATATATATATATATATATATATATATATATATATAAATAAATAAAAAATTTAAAAATAAAAAATGGAAAATACACAAATTTGGAAAAGTAAAATTTGAAAAAACTAAATTCGAAAAAATCCAAAAGAATTTACAGAAAAGTTTAAATTTGAAAATATATAAATAAAAAATATGAAAAATTATTATTTATTTAAATAAATATTTATATTTATCTGTTTATAAAATGAATATAAGAGTCTTTTTCATTTTTAATGAAATTACATGCTTAGTAAACATGAAAATGGTACCAAAAATGAGGTAAAATTAAAATTTTACATTAGTTTTCTGTTATATTAAATATTGTTTTATATATAATAATATTTTTTGGAGTTTAAATAGTTAAGCCATTAAACAATATTTTTCAAAACGTTTTTTATATCTTTATAAATGTCAATATAAACATTTTCAATAAAATAAAATGTTTTTAATGTTTTATTAAAAACGCTTTTGTTCAAGTTTCAAAAATTTTCAAATCATTAAAATATTTATGTTGAAATATCCCCTAAAAATCATATATGCTAAACTAACAAACTATTAAATATATGTAAAAGTAAAATAAAGTTAAAAGAGTTATCTATAATAACATTAACTTTTAATATTGTTGTATAACACTTTTTAAAATAAAAAATAAAATATTCATAATAATAAAATATAATATAAATATGTGGTACGAGAACACATATTGAAATATTGTTGTATAACACTTATAAAAATATTCATCAATGATTGCCTCAATGTATGATATTTATAAAGTTTATAATGATTTCGACATGTAAAAAAGATCCATTTTACATGTTGTCTGGGATCAAACCAATTTGGTTGTTGAGTTGATTTTGAGTTATACTTTGTTTGTATCGGTTTTGTATTATGTTTCGAAGTCTAATAGACTCTAAAAGGCTAATGAGTTTGATATGTTTATACTTTTTTTTGATTCTTTTGTTTGCAATTACACAAGTAAAGTAGAATATTTTAAATTTGGTTGTTGAGTTGATTTTGAGTTATACTTTGTTTGTATCGGTTTACTATTATGTTTTGAAGTCGTAATAGACTTGAAAATGCTAATGAGTTTGATATGTTTATACTTTTTTGATTCTTTTGTTTGCAATTACACAAGTAAAGTAGAACATTTTGTTTATGTTTTGACACTCGTTTAGTTATGTAAAGGCTAACGAGTTGAAGTTTTTAATATCTTGTTTTGTAGGAATGGCTTACTAGTTTCCAAAACGCATTCTTGAAAGAGGAGCTGAGATCTGGATTGATAAGATCAACAACACATGTAGACGTGCGATGATGGAATTGTTGAAGGAATTTCTTAAGGATGAGTATGACGAAGTTTTGAAAGATCATGTGTTCGGTCCGATTCTGGAAATTGTAGCTAACAAGCTCATTTACTCTGGGAAGATTATTCATAGCTTTATATGCAAGCAGCTCAAGGTTTCCAAACTTCACGAGTTGTGGTTTGAATTCGCAAACATGCCTCTTAGGCTCTCCATGCAAGAATTTCATGCTGTCACTGGGTTGAAGTTTAAAGAAGAACCAAACATAGACTTCAATGATTGGAACGATGATAAGGGTTTCTGGAGTAAGGCGCTGAGACAAAATGCAAATATCAACTTATACATCATACGGGATGAGCTTCTTAAAGTCTGTCACACGTGGACATATGTAAACATGGTGAGGTTAGTGTATCTGTGTATTATACATAGATTCATTATGGCTAAGGATTGGAAAGTGTATATCCCTCAAGAGTACATTCGATTGGTGATGGATTTTGAGAAAATGAGAATGTATCCTTGGGGTCTTCGCGCCTATGACGAGCTGATTTCATCCATATTAAAGGCAATGACAGATTTGCATCTGAAGAACAGCTACGTTTTGGATGGATTTTCATATGCGTTTCAGATATGGATTATGGAGGCAATCCCAGATATTGGTACTATGGTGGCTAAAAAGATTAAAAAAACATTGTGAAGGTGAGATGTAGGAATTGGACATGAAGTGGAAAAGTATCTTACCAAGATATCATCAGCCTAGAGTCCCACTTTGACAAGGTAATTATGTTTATTTTATTATTGAGTTCAACATATATGGAGCTTATTGTTTCGTTTGTTCTTGGTAGGGAGAGTTGTTCCATTTATATCATCTACTGGGAAGTTGGGTGTGATTGATGACCATGAGTTCATAAGAGAAAATGAGAAGAAGGACAAAAGAGTTGATCGGATTGTTGGTATGATCAAAGCCAATCATGACTGGAAGAAATTCATTTGGGAAGTTGAGCATTTGCCAACTAATATGGTCCTTTCTGATTTAGAATACGATTTCGAAGTTGAAGATGTCACGCCTGTTGTTGCAGAGAAACCGAAAGTTGCTTCCAAGAGGGCTAAGCGTAAGCTAAATGATCCTGGTGTCGAGTCTCGTAAGAGAGAACTATTTTGTCAACAGGCAGCTGAACATAACACTGGTGTCTCCGGTGAGATGAAGACCTTTATTATGGATTTGTTCACTTCTTTTAAGGAGGTGGTACGGAAAGACATCCATGACCGTTTTGACAAGGTCGACACATAGGTTGCTCATAAGTGTCTCAGATTACGGGTCCTTCAGATACAGTGGGCAAATCAGCTGAGATTCCGACTCCTTCAGTACCACTTGCAAAAGATCAAGAAAAATCGTCACAGTCTCCGGATCCTTCATCAACAATTGGGAAAGATGAGGCCAAATCATCACAGATTCCACGTCCTTCAGCAAGAAAAGAAAGAGGCAGTGCATCTGAGAGTGTGGATCCTCATGCGCTTCGTCGTAGTCCTGAGACAGTAAGAAAGGTAACAACAACATGAAGCTTTGTATGATTATGGGTTAGTTTACTATTTCCAGTATTTTGTAAGCTATGTTGGACGAAATATCTTTTGTTGTAAGTTTTTCTATGTCGGCTAGTAATGTATTTTGGTAATGTACTTTCCTATGTATTATAAGAATGTTGTCTCTACTCTGACTTTGAATGATATGGTTGGTTTTATTAACATGATGAAAGTGAAATGTTGGAGTTTTTGAAGAATCTGACAAAATCCAAGAAACATGTAGATAAGGGGACCCAAGAGTCTTCATGTTAAAGGTTTCGATTCATCACAAAGTCCCAATGACGACGATCAACCGGAATGGGTTACTCCATTATCTACGTTTAAGCTTTCAGACTGGATACCACCTACTCTCAAAGATATGGATCTCCCTGAGGACTGAATGAATGACACCGATTACTCACTAGTGTTTTCGCTGAGGATCAATGGGCCAAAGTGAATGAGTGGTCCACAACTTCCATGTTAGTTTATAATTTTTCTTAGTGTTTTATAATTCTAACCTTGTCTAACTGATGTTTGCATTTCAGGCAACTGAAACTAAGACCTACTATGTTCACAAGTGAGTTATGAAAATGTGTCATAGGACTTGCAGAGTGGCAGTTGCATAAAGTGAGTGTCTAATTTGTTGGTTCTTATTTTTTAATCTGCTTTTAACAGTTTTCTATTTTTTCAGGAAATTGATGCTATGATGTATGTATTCACTGAGAGAACTTCTTTGCGACGATGGCTTCCAAAAAGAGTCGCGTTCATGACATGCCTGTTTAGTAATCAAATGACGAACTCTTACCAAGAGTTTGGTAAGGCTGGAAGGAAATTCAAAGTCACAGAAATTCTACACCAGTACGGCATTGGTGAGCTTCTAGCACACGGACGAACATGACTAATGTGGGATCTTGATGTCGACCGCATGTATGTGCCTATGAATGTTGGTAAACACTGGATCTCTTTGTGCGTCGACTTTGTTACTCATTCGATAGAGGTGTTTGATTGTGAAGGAATGAAACATCCAAAAGCAGTGGAGCCATTTGCCGTTCTCATCCCTAGAATTGTCAAAGCAGTTCAGTCTTCAACCAGTCGGTCACACATTGTTAAGAAGTATACAGTCACTTACGCTCCAATGCCCTTAGTACTAAACAGTAGTGGATGTGATTGTGGAGTATATGCCTTGAAGCACATAGATTGCCATCTTCTAGGCTTGGACTTCTCCTTGGTGAATGATGACAACATTCGTGAGGCACGGTTAAAGATTTCTTATGACCTATGGGAAGCTGCTAATGATCCTGTGCTTATTTCGAGAATGGCACAATTCACTCCTCCAAAGACTATTTCAAATCCTCCAGCGGAACTTGATTGAAGATCTTGAAATGATTACTTATTTAGGAAGTATGTTGTTATTTGCTCTCTCTTTTTGTTAGAAAATTATTTATGTAAGAGAATTTAGCTCTTTAGTTACTCTTTCTTACTCTTTTAGTTAGTAACTTGTTTGGAACTTAAGAGAAATTAACCCCCTAACTATACCCTAAATGATAGTAAATTAAGACATATAGTAATCCCTATCTAAACCCTAAACTTAATTTTAAAGTAAGACGTAAACTAACCCATATCTATACCCTAAACTTAACTTTAATTATTCTTTTTTATAAATTAAAAAAAAATTCAGTTTATAATTTAACTAAATTAAATAGAACAGATATACCCTAAATGATAGTAAAATAAGACATAAACTAACCCCTCTCTATACCCTAAAAACCTAATCCGATTAGAAGCAGTGTTTGTCCTAAAAAAAAAGCTTATATAACTCCTTAACATGGCCACAAATCCTATATATTTCATTGGTTTCTTCTCCCATTTTCCTTAAAAATCTCTCATTCAACACAACTGAACGACGAACATGTATATCCGTGAAGGGATCCCTTCCAGATGCTGGGGTGGGAAGGGGATTGTCAATTCTGTTTCCAAAACGGAGGAGAACCCACACAGAAGATTCATCAGATGTGAGATTGGTTTACCAGTAGATCTGATTTTGTATAACTTGTTGGGGTCAAAATCGGTACGACGGAATTAATAGCCAAAACTCCCCGGGAAAATATAAAAGGAATAGTTTTATAAAACCCGAAGAGTCGTTTTATAAAACTCAAAGTCATTTATAAAACTCACAGACCGTTTTATAAAACTCGACAAGCCATTTTATAAAACTCGAGAATCGTTTTATAAAACTCGAAGAATCGTTTTATAAAACTCGAAGAATCGTTTTATAAAACTCGAGAATCGTTTTATAAAACTCGAAGAATCGTTTTATAAAACTCGAGGAATCGTTTTATGAAACTCGAGAATCGTTTTATAAAACTCGAAGAATCGTTTTATAAAACTCGAGAATCGTTTTATAAAACTCGAAGAATCGTTTTATAAAACTCGAAGAATCGTTTTATAAAACTCGAGAATCATTTTATAAAACTCGAAAAATCGTTTTATAAAACTCGAAAATCGTTTTATAAAACTCGAGAATCATTTTCTAAAAGTCGAAGAAACGTTTTATAAAACTCGAAGAATCATTTTACGAAACCGCAAAAAACCGAAACAGCCGTAAAACGCGAACTAGTCACGACTAGTTCGCCCATGGGTGAACTAGGGACACTCCACTAGTTCGCCCATCGGCGAACTAAGCCGGCCCGGCTTAGTTCGCCGATGGGCGAACTAGTCCATCTCGACTAGTTCGCCCATTGGCGAACTAGTCCCGTCCCGGCTAGATCGCCAATGGGCGAACTAAGAGGTGCTGACTTTGCCACACTGGTTATTTTCACCTAGTTCGCCATATGGCGACCTAGCCAAGCTGAACTAGCTCGCCGTACGTCGAGCCGACCATCCCGAGCCTCGATCTCCCGCATCCCCGATTCAAAACTTACGTCTTTCGACTCGAATTCTGAACCACGGCCGAAACGTCTCCCGTTCCGTCTCGATCCGACCTATCATTCAAGTTTTACGATAAAAACCGTAAAACTTCGCTTTCTCGGAAAGAACTCGAGGAAATCATATAAAACGGCAACGGTTAAACGAAACACCGACATTGCCTAAACTATACGATTTATTCGAGACTTCTCGTTAAAATCATAAAAAACTTGTTTTAAAAAAAAAACTTCGAGAGAATCGTAAAAAAACGGCATCGAATCAGGAAACAGTCTCGTTAAAGTCGTAAAACGGTTTTTATCGTAAAACGGCCCGAAAGGTCCTAAAACACGATAAAAACCCATCTCGCGACGTTAACGAAATCAAACCCCAAGCTACGATAACGCTTTGACGGTTTACTCGCAGACGGAAGATAAAAGGCAAGTTTGAAGATAAATAGAAAATTTCCGCAGAAGAAAAGGAAGGATCGACGGATATGGAAAGTTCCCGAAATATTCGGTTTCGAGCAAAATGGAAAGACTAAAACCGCCTAAGGAGGAGTATATAAGGAGGAGGCATAGGGCAGAATCTGAGGGACGAATTTCAGAGCTCTCATCTGAGACTTTCAAAACTTTTCTAGACTTAGAATTTTCCGCACTTAGAAACTTAGGCTTTTTCTCGACAAGTTCGGTTTCTATGACTGGTGCTCAATTACTAGACGAATTCGCCCAGGCAGTTCGATCTCTGGTCCAGCTCTACCAACTGAACTACGTTCGACTTGATCCCCGAAAGGGGTACGTAGGCAGCCTTTCATAAGGTTCAGTCCGAAATCCTTCAAACCTTTTTTCTTATCTTTTTCCGTTTTTCGTTATCGAGCTGCGACTCGACTAGATCTAGGGTTTTATGTTTGTAACTCGCTGATGGCCCCTGCGGCCAAAGCCTTTGTAATTCCTTGTAGTGATCGCAACGCTCTTACGCGAATCAGAAATAAGATCGACTTTCTTTATAAATTCGTTTTATTATGTTTTTCATATTTTTCCGCATTTATTTGGTTACTTGTCGGTTGCTTTCGCAGAGATCCGATTCCTCTGGAAAATTAGGGTTTTCCTAAGTTTCCTTATTTAACGGAAATTGAAAAGTGTGAATTTCGGTTCCCACAGTTTGGCGCTAGAAGGAGGGGGGGGTCGGATTACTCTTACTCATAGCCGCAAAATGCTTGACCAAAACGATGTCTGGGTGTATGAAAGATGAAGTCGCAACTCGCAAAAAGACGCTGGTAAAACAACTCCAGCAGTGACTGCTCCTACAGCCAACGCTCGCGCAAACGCTCGCGCAAACGCTGTAGTACTCAACAAAATCGAAAACCTAATCGCGACTCTTCGCCACGGAAAGAGCAACAAAAAAAGCTCACGATTTCTATCTCAGATCACTAAGGGCAACGATAAAATCTATCAAACCCCATAGTGTTTTTCTTATTTCCGAGTTGGACAAATCTCACGCGTTAAGCAAAATACATTTTCCGAGGACCTTTCGGAAAAATAAAACTTGCTCTCCCAGAAACCGTGGAACAAACCGTAGGTTATTCGCGGCAAAAACCTAGGTTGTCCGCTGAAAAACCCTAGGTTGCTCGCGTAGAAAGCCTTAGGTGACTCGCGGAAAAACCGTAGGTTATTCGCGGCAAAAACCTAGGTTGTTCGCAGAAAAACCCTAGGTTACTCGCGTAGAAAGCCTTAGGTGACTCGCGGAAAAACTGTAGGTTATTCGCGGCAGAACCCTAGGTTGTTCGCGGAAAAACCCTAGGTTACTCACGGAGAAAGCCCTAGCTTAATCGCGGAGAAAGCCTTAGGTGACTCGCGGAAAAACCGTAGGTTATTCGCGGCAAAACCCTAGGTTGTTCGCAGAAAGCCCTAGCTTACTCGCGGAGAAAGCCCTAGGTTACTCGCGGAAAAACCCTAGGTTATTCGCGACAAAACCCTAGGTTGCTCGCGGAAGAACCTTAGGTTACTCGCAGAATTGGGCAATACTATCCAGCCGAAAAGACGGTGAGTTGGCCAAGCAACCTAGCTTGCCATCTTGGCGAGTTA